AAATTCAATACCAACCAAAAAATGTATAAACATTAATAACACATTATACCATATTCCAACAGATTGTCTTTGTTAAAAAATTATTATATCTAACTCTGTTAAATACTTAGGAGTTGAAATCTGTAATAATATGAGATGGAAAGACCAAATAAATGTTCTAAGTAAAAAAGTAAGAAAAATGATTTATATTTTTAGAGGTTAGCGTAACATATTAGATTCGACTAAATTGCGGCAAGTATATTTAACATTAGTAGAATCGGTCATAAACTATGGTATAATTGGTTAGGGTGGTGCGTTCAATAATGTTCTAAAATAATTAAAAGTCTGTCGAAATCAAATATAAAAAGTGACCTTTAATAAAACACTAAGATACCATACTGAAAATATTTATAAAGAATTAAAATTACTTCCTATACAAAAATTATATTATAAAACGATCGTTATATCCTAAAAAAACATGATATGATAATTAACATAACATAACATTAATACCAGGTATGCTAAAAACAATTTTTTAATAAATTGGCCGAATAAAACCACTTCAGGTAGACATTTTCAAATAGTAGGTACCAAAATAATAAATAAAATTCAATGGTTATTAGATTTAGATGATTCAATATGATAATATTAGGTATAATATGATATATTATATATTATATATGGTATAATATAATATGATAATAGTAGATAAATTGTTATAATTTATATTTATTTATGTATGTTTATTTATAAGCATTTTTTTCTCTATTCTTAATTATTATGTATTTGCTTTATATTTGTATCATGTATTAATGTAAGAACTTCTGGGCCCCCAATCTCAGTGGGGCACAGTATTCATTGTATGAATTAAAATGAAATAAATAAATAATATAAATAAATATATACCATATCTAGCAAGATGGTATAGTGATACGAAGTTAAGTAAGAAAAAAAACAAATACATTTTATAGAATAAATAAATAATAATAATATAAATAATAATCACTAATTGTTAATCAGCAACAATTATAGTTGGATTGAAGTATAAATTTTGAGCTGAGCATGTTTTAATAATACATCTAAATACGGTAGCATATGTATTTGTACTTTTATCTAGTAATAAGAAATAGGATAATGGAACATACATCTATTTTTAAAGATATGAACCGTAAATAGTTGATAGAAATATTTTGGGCAACTATAAAATATACCATCTACAAATATTTTGTCACTAGAGCATAGCAATTTTAAATTAGAATTTGTAAAGTAGAATAAAATATTATTTGTTGTCCCAGCATTTGTTGTAAATCTGCTGGAAACAATATTATGTATTTACAAAATCCGAAAATGTTTTAATATTAAAATATATATGTTATATTCTTATATACATATATAAATCTTCGGCGGAATCAATATATAAAAATATTCGGCGCAATCAATATATACAGATATTCGGCGGAATCGATAAACTCCCTTAAAAAAGAACTACACAAAAGTCGATTCTAAGTGGATCCGACATTAGATTAAAAAAAAAAACCACAAATATTAAGGATTTATAAATATTGGGTATACCCAATTTAAATATTACCAAAATTTGACTTGTGCATTTTAAGCCTGAATTAAAGAAAAAATTTGAGTCGCCCTCCCCCCTAGAAGTAAGTCTAAATACGCTCCTAAGTCATGAATTATAAATGAATAGTTATAATTGTGAACAGGACATTAAGATTATATACTTACTCCGCGAAATTACTATTGTTTTCCATAGTTGACATTTGCTGAGTCAAATGATAACTACATTAATATTTATTATGTTCAATATTGTATAAAATGATTAAAACATTGTAGATTCTCTCAATTATTTCATATCAATAAATTTATAGAATTTTCATAACACCATATCCTGGTCAATTATTTGTAGTCAGTACGACTACATGTTGACACCCAATTAATCCGAGTAAATAAATACGTAGGCTGTTCAAAAAGTAATGATAATAATGATGCTGAGGAAAAATTTGTTGTAAAAGCTGCTCACAATGCATACTATCGTATATTCCATTATCTTATCTATCTACATGCCGAGTTACAAGTCGATCGGTGCAGTGAGTGGATGTGTGTGATCAAATGTGTCAATTTTTATAACGTGTGATATATATTCGCCTACCATTTTCAGTATGGATAATAAGTCAAGAAACGTTGTAACTTGAAATTTTCAGTGAAACTTGGAAAGAACCGAAAAAATTAACTACAGTGTATGATGTCAAATAACACGCTGTCCTCCAAAGCCAAACAGTTACGACAGATATTATAAATCGGTTTTAACCACGATATTACGTCATTTCAACAAAAAGCGACCGCATAAAAAAATGAATGTTCCTGCATCATGATAATGCCCCAAGTCACCAATACTATAGTGCAGCGTTTCTCAACCAGGGAGTCGTGACCTCCAAGGGAGTCGTGACCTCCAAGGGGGTCGCGAAAATCTTGAATTGGGGTCGCGTAGGTCAAAAATAATAAAACGCTGATTTACAAAATATAAATTCAAATCAAATTTTTACCTAATATAGATGGAGGGGGGGTCGCGAAGTGACCATATTTTATACTTATTTTGGGGGTCGCGACACTAAAAAGGTTGAGAAACAATGCTATAGTGAATTTTTTAAACACTCGTGGCATCAAAACTGTACCCCACCCTCCGTATAGTCTAAATTTAACCCAATAATTTAAATGAATATTGAATGCAAAAAATTTATTTATGTAATGAAAAAATATAATGTACGTAATCGAGAATACTTAATTATTGTAAGTTTAAAAAGGTATTGAATTAAATATAAAAAAATAAAATAGTAACAAAAATAAAAAATGAATTGATTTAATTATAATTACAGTTGTTATTGAAAAGTATAACGACGTACCAGAATTCGTGGGAGTAAGTAGGTATGTGTTTGTATAAGTTCGTTTCACTCTGGATCGGATCTTAGATTTCGGCTGTTTACTATAATATAGAAAATAAATACAATGTTTTAATATTCAATTACATTTTGAGAATTAAAGAAAAATAAATTATAATTATTTTTTTCATTTTATTAGTATTAATATATACAAAGGACATGAATTATAAAAAATATAATTTGTAAGAATGATAATATTTAACAATCATAAATAGAATAAGACAAGTAATATTGGACATAGATTATGTATAATATCAGGTAATATTGGACATGGATTGTCTCATCGTTATTTCTGTCGCAATATGCCGCTAAAAAATATTATTTAAATATGAATGTTTTTTATTTAAAACAATTAATTTTAGCTATGAAAAACATTAACCGATGAAATACTAAGATTTGTTAAAGTTGAAAAAGTTTTTATACACCCTCATTTTAGTTTCACAACGATTTTTACTAAAATTATTATTCTATAGTGCATATTCGAATATAACTATCTATAAATACAATCGAACTCGAATTATGATAATTTGGGGCCCGGGACCAAACATTTTTAGGGGCACACAACCATAATCAAAATATTGATGACCCATACATAAATATATTTCAAAGAAAAAAAAAATTTTTATTCTAATTTATAAATTTATTTCTTGCTTTTTTAATATAAAAATAAAAATTTTATCTGTATAAATAATTTTTTCTTTCTATTTGGAAAGCAAACCCTTTAATTATATAATCAGTATTAATTACCTCCAATACAATACTCTCTGAACACAAAACAATTAAATTATTTAAATTTGTTTGAGAACTGCTCGTTCTATACTTGTTTTTTATACGAGCTAAAAAAATAGTTAAATAAACAAAAACAAAAAATTACTATACGCCAGGGGCCAACTATTATTTGATATCCGTTGTGGGCTCAGGGCCATGCCTCCCCCCATCAATCCTGGCTTGAATACACAATGTATTTTTATTTGAAATATGTATTAAATATTGGAAATATTCTATATTTTATAAGGTAAAAACATATTTTTAAATATTTTTCAATCGCGGTAAAAGAAGTAGGTATGCCACAAAAAGTTTTCTTATGTCTGGAGGCCAAGGAATATATAAATTGTGTCGTAATTTTTAACATTATTTATATACTAAAAAAACATAAATAAATGTTATTAAAAACATTATACTTTAAATTGTTAATAAAAATGAATACTTTAAAAACAAAAGAAAAAATGAAAATGGCTCTAGAAATTACTCATGCAGGTGAAACACAAAAATGTATTTAATTATAAAAAGAAAAAACAAACACCAATTCAAATAAATTGAAATTTAATTAATAAATTTAAAGTAATAATTTAAATAAATATAGAAAAGAGAAAAATTGATTTAAGTAATAGAAAAATATTATTTACATAACAGAGAATATTTAATTATTTTAAGTTTTAAAAGTTAATGGATAAAATATAAAAAAATTAGTTCGAAGCTTAAAATATAAATTTAATCGATTTTGCTACAGTTGCAATTGTTATTCAAAATAAAAACGATATACCGTTATTCCTGGGAGTAAGTAGATAAGTTATTGTTACTCATAAGTTCGTTTCATTCCTAGATTTCGGCTGTTAACTCTAATAAAAAGAACAAATATTATATTTCAATAATTAATTACACTTTAATAATTAAAAAAAAAATAATAATAATTTATTTTTTTATTTTATTAGTATTAATATATACAATGAGTAGGAATTATAAAAAATATAATTTGTAAGAGTGACAATATTTAACAAACGTAAATAGAATAAAACAACTAATATTAGACATAGATTATCTGTCTCTGTCTCAGATATAGTGTGATGACTGATTTACGTAAACAAATCCTCTATCGCGCGCGCAAACCATTTTACTAAAAAAGAATTATTGAACGATACCATTCGAGTTCTGATTTTTGAACCAATATGACCGTTAGTAAATGATTCGATACTATTCGTTCGATACCAGTATTTTTTTTTATCGATATGAGTAGAGTATCAAAACAATGGTATCGATACAAAAAGGACTTCTATCAAAAGAAAAGTATTGATACTTTATTGGTATCGCTAGTATCGCAATGTCCTTATCTACACTAAAGTTATAGAGATTAATAAGTGATAATTGTTGACGGTTTTTTTAAATCAGTTTTCAATTTGTTTTCTCTATATTTTAACTTTTATTTTATTAAGTAAATAACTTGTCCATTTGTTTTATAGTGTATGAAATAAACTAATTTAGTGAATCCCAATTTTGCGCATTGAATTATAAACAGTAAAGGTGTTGGAGTAAAATATAGAAGTATGTAAACAAGTTTCTATATTATTTTTCATCTTATATCTTACTTTAATAATAATATTACTGTTAAGTATCAATATTCAACTGTAAATATGGTTATAAAATTTTTACTGATCATTAATATCTCATGATACACAAGTCATCATTTGTAACAAAAAAAAAAAAAAATTATATAAATAAATAAATAGATTAATTATATATGTTTAATTCAGTATTACTTTCTGCATTGTCAATTTGATGAAAAAAAGGTATGATGAAAAAAATATATCTTTTCATGAATATTGAGTTAAAGTAATAATATTAAGTTTAACAATGAACATAGTTTCATTGATTAAATATTTATATTATATAATCAATAATAGCTTTAACTCAAGATAATATTGAATTTTTTTTTTTTAATATATTGATTAATTTATTTTATGGTTTCAGGATTAAAATATTTTAAAATTATGGAATCAAAACTATGTCGACAGCAAAATACTATGAATTCTTTAGCAAAACCAAAACATAAAACTGTTTTACCTGAAAAACAGAATACGTGGAGTAACTTATTAAATAAAAAAACAAATACTTCTAATACTGCTATAGCTTTTAATAAGAAATCTAAAAAAAATTCACTAATATCTGAAAATAATCCTAAGAGTATGAACTTTAATTCTTTTATAGATATTATTTTAAAATTCATTTTTATTATAGCCATAAGCCAGAGTGTACAATGTGATTTATCAAATATTAAACAATACCAGAGTTCATCTTCACTTTCTGTATTTAATCCAATTAGGACATTACAATTTTTACTTAAAGAAATTACACATTTACCTAATACTCAAAGTTAGTAAAATATGATTATATTTATCTATGTTGAATATATGTAAATAACCATTTACAATATTTTTAACTTACATTATAACCAGACTCCGATGTAACAAAAATAGTTGATGAAATGCAAGTTGTTGTTGGAAGAATTATTAATGAATTCTCTAAGAATGAACCTCATTCTAAATTTAATATTATGCCAGTTATGAATGACAGCTCTATGATTCCAACAAAGGATAATGATTTTTGCAAAGACTTAAAATATGAAAATAATACTCAAGAAAATGTATGTAATAATTAATTATTAAAAATTATAATTTTATCTTATAGTTAGCGTATAGTACAATAAATTATACATTGTAGAAACCTTGAGAGATTATTTAAAATACTATTAAGCTACATATGATCATCTATAACATTGTTACAAAATTAATTGCTAAAGCTGTTAATTATAATGAAATTAAAAATATTAATTTGATATATTAATATTTCAGAAATATTGGATAGTGCTGCTTGAAAAAATATCAGAACTTGAAAATAATTATAGTCAACTCTCAAAAAACTATATGAAATCTGAAGAAAAACTTCAGTCTGTAATATCTGAAAGAGATAAATTACTTGAGTAAATATATCAAAAACCCTGTTATAAAATAGTTTATTTTTATTTGTATTATGTAATAGAAAATTTCAAGAATCATGCCATTCACTGGAAAAGTTTAACAATCGTGAACGTGAATATTTAGATACAATTACAGAACTTAAATCTAAACTAATGGTTTCAGAAAAGTTAATAAATCAACAAGAAACTATAATAACAAATCTAAATAAAATGTCAAATTCACCAATTAGAAATAAAGTTTGTATCAAATGAAACATTATAAAATTAATAAAAATTCATATTGTTTTATTTTATAGATTAAGGAATTTGTGAATGAAAATATGCCAATTCAAAATCATTCATATGAAGCAGAATTAAAAGAAAATAATGAATTAAGAAAAAATTATATCATGACCAAACTGAACTTGGATAAATCAAAAATTAATAACAGTTTTAAAAAAAATGAAGTTTCCAAACTTCGATCAGATATTAAGTAATTATTATTTATTTATTCATTATTTTTTAAGGTAAAATGTATAAAATTACTGAATTTATTAAACAAATTCAAAATTTAATTTACCTATAAGTATATTTAATTATATATAAATATGTATAACTATAAGTATTATAGTAAGTATTAACTATAAATACACAAACTCAATTTGTAATTAATTAATAATGATATATTTTTTAAATCTTGTAGTATTTATATAATTTTCAGTTATTTTATCTTAATTTTATGTAAATCTATTATTTTAATATAATATTAAATGTATTAGTATACACAGCAGAGTCTATAATTTGGATCTGAAGGGTTAGAAAATAAAATTTAAACTATTTTAAGATAAATTGTTAATAAAATATATAGAAAAAAAACTCAATATGTAATTTGATTTTTACTTAATTTGTTTGAATATTTTTTTTTTAGACAAATTAAGAATATTGTATTAACTGGGATAGAGAATACGGATATTAAACCTGAGTCTATGATTTCATTGAAATCCGAAGGCCAACCAATGAAAGACTTTTCTAAGTTTAATGAAGATAATAAGAAAAATATTGAACATAATATCGATTTGCAATATACTGAATACAATCGACAAGCAGCTGCCATAAAGTCAGCCAAGTCAGAACTTCAACAGTTATTAGAAACAATTAAAATACAAGCCTATCACTCAAAAAAAATGTTTAACTCAACTGTAATTGATGATATATCTGATGAAGAAGATGATTGCTCAAATGTATCAAATTTTATGAGTATAGCGACTGATTCAAGTGTAAATTAATTTCCTTGTAATACTTACATTTGTTTTATCACTTATTTGTATGATAATCATTTTTAACATAATTATAAATAAATAAATAGATAATGTATGTATATATATATATATCAATACACATTTTGATTCAGTAAAACATTTTTATTTCATAAACATTCAAATACTAAGAAATATGAACATTTTTTAATGATTTGCTTAAAATTTTTCCAATACTTGTCCGCAAGTTATGAGATTGCCATTGAGCTTCACATGAATCAGAAACTTTTAGGTCAACCTAAAATAGAATGAAAAAAAATTAATAATTTAATGAGTACAAACATTAAAAATGTATTTACCTGTAGTTGTTCCCAAATTTTCTTTTTAGGATTTAAAATTTTGTCTGGTTCACCCTGTTCATAACTCTCAACAAAAACTTTATCACCCGGTTTACTCCCTTCAACAGGTTCTAAAGGTTCCACAAATTTAACACCATCAATTTCACTAAAGATGCAAAAAAAAAAAATGATATATATTATGTTTTATAAAATAACTGAAATTCAACATTTAAATAGCCATACGCTGAAGCACAAAGAACCATTCCACTTGATTCAACTCCTCTCATTTTAGCAGGTTTTAAATTGCATAAAACAACAACCAATCTATTTTGCATTTCATTAATTGGTACAAATTTCACAAGACCACTGACAATGGTTCTAAGCTGATCTTCTCCTATAAATAATATTCATAAATATGAAACATTAAAGTACAATTAATATTACTAATATTTTTTTTTTTATTAAAATTTGTGTAAAATTACTTTAGTAAAAAATATAGTTATATGCAGTTATACATCATACAATAAATAATTTAAATAATATTTTATATTTAATCTTTATTTGTTTTATACTAGGAAATTAAAATAGAAAACTAATTTTGAGTATTTTGGTGCAGTGGTTTTTTTATTGTTTGGATGAGCAAATCTATTTATAATATTAGATTTGGTTTTTAAATAATAATGAAACTTTTGACATGATTTATTTATATTACCCTTGATTATCAGAATGGTATTCAATACTTAGACTCTCAACTGAATTTTTGAGCTGGTCCAATTTTAATCAAATGAGAAAACACTTTCTCGACTAGGTTGTAACTGTCTAATAAACATAAATTTTAAATATTCTACAATTATACAAAAATGTATGCACTAGACCTTAACGTAAGTTAATACTTCCATTTAACAATTTTTTGCAGCTTATTCTTGTAAATGAAGTTTATTATATTTTGTGTTGTTAAATACATTTTTCGAGTAGAATTTTATGTCAAATCAAATTTCTTTCATATTCAAACATTTTTGCATTCATCATGGGCAGTTGGACATATCACTCAAAAGCAAGACAACTCAGTTAAAAAAAATAAGATGTATGCTCATATGTTTAATTTAATCTATGTATTAAAAGCAAACGAAAACTGATTAAATAAAGCTTTTATATTCATCTTATTAATTTGTATTAATGTTAAATTTTTTCAATATCAGCTAATATAATCCAAAAGATAAATTTACAAGAACAGCCAAGTTTCAATATATTTTAAACTATACTACAATATAATGAACATACCAACATCAATCTTTTCAACATACAACGCATCAGCTTCCGGATGTTTCGAAACTTCAATTATTTTACCAACACGGATATCCAAACGGTAAGGTGAAATTTCATCTGGTTGTTTACTATTATTTTTTTCTAAAGAAATAAAATCAACAAATTATTTAATTAAATAAAACTAAAAGTACATAATGAACAAAATTTTAAAATAATCCATTTACATTTGAACTTAGACAGTGGCTTGATATGTTACTCATACATTTTATTGTCCTTATAATAAAGAATTTATATTCCGATTGGTAAATATAAATTATTAACATAGATATACAGTAAATGTTATGCACACACTTTTCAGTTTTTATAAGCTCAAAACAAAACTTTAAAAGACAACTCTAGCATGAAGCTACTAATCAGCATCCATAGGAAAATAGAATTTCAATGATTTTCTCTAAGGGACGAAGACCATAGTCAAGAAGAAAATGCTGAATTGAACTATTGGAAATTTCAAAAAATACCGAAAAATGGCTTTATAACCTGTACCACTATCTAGCTATTCTCGATAAACGTATATTTGAACAGTACCCTATAGAAAACTTGAATATAATATTAAGTATTTTTATTCTTATTTCATAATACACTAAATTGTATAAAGGGATAAGAAAAATATTTATCGAGTGAGAAACAAGACTTGGATGGAATACTGCTCATGGAAGTTATTGTAAAGTATATACAATCAGAATATTTATTAGGTAGTAAAGAAAAAAATGTATTCATAATGTTCAAATATATTTCTAACCTAAATGTTCAACTACTTAAAGTTCAAAACACTTTTAAAGAACATATTGCTATAACCAGAAAATATGAATACCCTAAAAAACCATTTCCAAAAAACCTCCTACATTCCTTTCTTTATTCAGAATTTTAACTGATTTGTGAATAATAAACATAATCTTCAAGCTAAATTATTGAAATATTAAATATTATTATATAATATATATTTAATTATTGATATACTAAATATTATTTATTAAATTATTGAGACTGTTTATATCTTATCAGTTTTTTTAGGCTTTACTGGAGCAGGATATGCTTTAGCAACTAACTCTTGTAATTCTGGTGTATCAAATATTTTTCTAATTGGATCTAACAACCGATTGATATAAAACTCAACAGATGCTTTTAAATCAGCTGGATGGAGTTTTTGTTCAGAAAAACAAATTTCAAGTTCTTCATATGTACTGAAATTTAAATCTCCTCCATTAGCTTCATTTCTGGATACTTTAAATTCTTGAAATAAAAGAAGTTATTAATTTTAAATAAATATTTATGTAAAAAAATATCTATACTTTCATCAGGTTGAAACAGTCCAAATATTACATGTTTAGCAAATGAAAGTAATCCATTTTCTGTAATATTTCCTGGTTCACAGAAGGCTTTTTTAAACTTTTTTTTCACTATTGCTGGTGAATCTAATAAATCAATCTTACTGTCTTCTTCAGAAGAGGACATTTTACCTCCTGCTAATCCAGGAACTAAATATTCAATAAAATGTATTTAATATAGTAATAATTTAACATGACAATTACTTAAATTGTTAAATATTATAAACTAACCCATTGGATTCATTAAATGTATTCTTTTAGCATAGCCTAACTGTGGAAGATATTTTTCAGACATAGTAAATATCTTACGTTGGTCCACTCCACCAAACTGAGCATCAACTTTAAGATATTCTTCGTCCAATGCTTGCAATCCTTTGAATAAATAATGAAAAATAATTATTGAATAAAAGTATTATAAAATGACCCAAATTAAATTACACTTTATAGATGAGTCAATATTAATTAATATGGCATATCATTACATATAATTATGACTTAATGTTGATTTTTTAGCAAAAAATAATTGATCCATAACAAACCAGGATATAGCAATCCAGATAATAATGGGTTATCAAGTTGCTTAACAACTTCAGCTCCAGCTTTCTTAGCATCATGTTCAGTTATAGAAGAGCTTAATCTGTATACATCTAATGTGTATTCTCTAAAAAGAAAATTAGATCAAAAAAAATGTATTATCATTAGGTAAGTTCAATTTACTTTGAAAGTTGATATTCTGTTCCTCTAACAAACTTTAACTTGTCTAATGGTACTCCAATTGAACTTAACATGGCTTTAATTGAGTGTTCATAATACTGTACTCTAAGCTCCAATAATTCCCATGGAGCTTTCATATTATCCAAATAAGCATGTAAATCAGCAAATAAAACTGTAACCTATAAATTATATTTATAAAAAATATTTTTTAGGCATTTTTTATACACTTATATTATTTAAAACCTAAAACCTAAAATATTAAGACAAATTGTGCGCAGTATAGATTTCAAAAATGCAAATAGTTAAATTTTTACTAAAGCAATCTACATGGTAAATAGTAAATAGAATTAACTACAAAGATGGTTTATTTTTGAGTCCTTATTAATTACCACTACTTACTAAAAAAAAAAAAATAAAATTATGGAAAATAAAAGATATATTTTTTAAACACCAATACTTATTTTACTTTTTTAAAACTATTCTATTGATAATTAAAATAATGTATTAAATTTATCTTATACATATAAATCGTTATTGATATGTTTATACGTACCTCGCAACCAGCTTTTAAGTAGTCTGCTATTTTGGAAATTGGTACAAAATATGCTATGTGTGGTCGTCCTGTAGTAGCAGTACCCCAATAAATTTTTAAATCTCTTTCTTTTAATATGGCATCAAGCTTATCTTCACCGAGTACTTCTTGTAAGTTGCGTAAAATTAGAGTTTTCTTTTCAAGGAAGGATGCCATTATTCCACGCCACGTGTACAAACGATCATCAAGCACTACGAACGATGATCAAAAACTAACTAACCAACTATCGAAGTAAACATGAAGTTTATAAATTGTTGATAAGATCATGAAAGTAATTATGATATCGGTTATCAATTGTTAATTGGATCTTATAACAAAACTATAGACCTTATACCACAGAAAAGTTTGTAACAAAACAGTATTTTAGTGGTCATAGATAAGGTTTATTCTTTATCTATGTTCATATCAAACTATTATAACTTGTAAACTAATAACAATTAATTTTATGCCTTCACTCAAAATGTAATATTTTTTAAATGTTACGGTTATTAATTCAATATTCAAACTTAATAATTTTTGGTTTTTCATGCATTTCTAACATTCTGGCACAGAAAAGTAGGGTCAAGGATGTTGCCAAATTTGGTGAAAATGTTTGTGAACAATCATGTATGTTAGTGTTGTTTGATATGGAACGAATTTAAACCAATCAGATAAGGTCTTGGTTATTTGTCCTTGCTTGAACCATGATAAGAATACGTCATGAAATGAATTAAGACTTATTTGTTGACTGTTGTTATTATTTTCTTTTTATTCGTATCCATCAATTGTTTTTCGGAATACTTTCTAGTTTTCTAATTATTCATTATTTAACTGGTTTTAATTTTAAAGAAACCTATTCTAAGTTTTATATTTGAGTAACAGTTATTCTATTAATGTAAATCTGTAAATAGAACACTGGTTAGTTTCATGAATCTAGAAAAATTAAATGATATTTTTCTAAATCCACTTAATTCAAATACTTGAATTAAAATCACATTGTAAACTATGGCTTATGTTAATGTGGCTGATTGGAAATCGGATCAAGTAGCTGATTGGCTTAAAGGTAAATTATAAACTAATTATCACAAAGTACAAACATTTTATACATAACATTTTTTAGGTTTGGACAGTGTTATTTTACCATACATCAAATACTTTATTGATAGAGAGATCAATGGACAAAAATTATTAGATATGCAACCCAATGACTTAGATAAAATTGGTGTATGTAAAATTGGACATCAAGAATTAATACTAGAAGCAGTAGATCTACTTAGAAATTTTGTAAGTAACAAAAAAATTCCTTTCATTAGTTTCATACACTTGTCAAATTTCAGTATTCCATTTAAAATATTTATAAATTAATTTTATTGGGATGTTACCAAAATTATCTTGAAAAATATTTTGTATCAATTTAAGTTTATGGCTTGGCTCATTACTATTTTCCATTCTATTTTTCGATATTATTTTCAATTTAAAGGTTATCAATAACTATAATTTACTCAAAAACTTAATGTAGCTTACTTTTTAAACGTATATCATTAATATGCATTAATTTCAGTTCAAGCAATTTCATTAAATTAATATAGTGTTTAATTTGTATTAATTTAAAATAGATTCTAACTTTTATTACTTATTAGTGTCCTATTATTTCAGGAATTTTTATATCAAGTTTTCAAATACCTATTCATAAAATTTATTAAGAATTAATTTATAATAATATATCTTTAAATTGTTTCCCTTTATTGCTTGAAATTTAAAAAAGTTAAATTGATTATATTTGGTCATTTTATTTTAATATCTTTTAAATATATATCCAAAAACTGTTTAGAGTTAGATTTTTATTTGTTATTAATAATTAATATAATATATATATTATTTTATTGTTTTTATATATTTTTAGCATTATGAATTGGATAAAGAAAATGTACAACTATTAGCATTAAGACTGTCTTGTAGTGCTCACAGCTTATATAAAGATATTAATCAAAATTATTTAAGTTCTACTCAAGTTCCAACTAAAATTCTAACAGATGTAGCCAATACAGTAGCTATACTAAAGCCATTAGTTAACTGGTTAAACAGGTTAGATTTAAAATTATTTTACTGTTATTTCTTAATTAAACAAATATTGATAATTTTTTTTAGACCACCGTTTTGCGGGCAACCACATTATATAAGTATGAAAAACAGGTTGCTTAAGTTAGCTCTTGAAATAGTAACTAGTGGACAACGTGATCGCTTTGCTGAGAACCCAGTAGAGAATATTTTTGAAATTGCTAAACAATTAGCTCAACTTGCTGATCTTATCATTCAAGAAAGTCAAGATTCTTTAATTTTACAGCCTGCTACTTTGGATGTTGCAACACTCAAGAAAAGATCTGGAGAATCTCTGGTTTTTAAATATTTTTTAAATTTTATATGACATAAATATTGACATTTTTAAACAAGTAACTAAAACAACACTAACCTTTTATGTCAGTGTTCTTTAAAAAATTATCTTATATACATTTAATATACATATATTTGTATAGAAAAATTTATTTCTTTTTAAATAGCATCAAACAAACTATTAATTTTGTATGAATATTTAAAGTTAAGATGATGGTATTGTAGTAATCCTTCCCTGATACTTATCAAAACTTAAAATATTCATAAATAGTTAGCTATTTTTCATTGTAGTTTCCATTTTGAATATTTAGATGAATATAAAATGTCATTATTTGTATATAAAATATTATTTGGATACATTATATGAATTTGACATTTATTTTTAAAAATATATTTTACTTAATTGATATACTTTTAATGTATAGTACTTTCTTTCAGTTATTTTCATGTAGTATGATATTAATTATTTTCTGATTAATTTCAGGGGTTCTATATTGTACCATCATTTCATGGTGTCCACCAAGTAGGAGAAGTAAAATGTAATAGTGTTGCACATCAATGCGGCAAAATTGAGGCTGGTGATGAAATTGTACAAGTTGATTATCAAACTGTGGTAAGTTATATTAAAATATCATAATCATATTTGATTTTTGATTGAACATTGAACAATTAATTATTATTGACTTATTTGTTAATATGATTAAAACTGAAATTTTCTTGCCCAAAAAAAAAAACCAAAAATAGCTTAATATAATTATTACTTTTATTTAAAGTCAATTGATATAAATTTAAATAAACTATGATTTTAACTTTAACTTGTAATCTGTAATCATAATAAATAAAGTATACAATTAAATTCTTTTATGTAAGATCTTATTGGGAACAAATAAAAATTTTTGAAAACCTGAAGCGTCTAATTTTATAAAATATGTTATTGAGTATAGTGCTTTTAGTATCAAGCAGGATTATGTTTATAGTGTGGCTGAGGGGGCCTCTAGAAACTCATATTAAAATTGTTTTATGAATTATTAGTTTCAAATTGTTCATATTATGTAATGTACCTATTTATATATCAGACAAATGTAATAATTAGATAGTTTAATTAATTTTTTGAATATCAAGTGACAGTTAAGTTTATACAATAAAAATTAAAATTGTTTTCCAACATTTTTTTTTTATTTTATTTAGTTGAATTGTAAAATTTTGTTTAGAAAAAATTCCCTTCCCCCCCTACACAAGAAAAAAAATTGAATTGCACCTCTGGTATCAAGGGTAGTTTTAATTTAGTTTAATTTAAAAAAATTAAAATTTGAATAACAGTCAAAAACTTTTTGAATTTTGCTAATTTCTTATTTTCTGAAATATTAGGTTGGATGGCAAGCAAGACAAGTAATGGCTTTGTTAGAAGATGCATCTACTGATATTTTTTTAACACTTAAAAAACGACCTCGGCATAGCAAAGTATTTGGGCAGATATATATGAAACCTTATCGCTTACCTAGTAAAAAGCTATTCAATTATCCACAAAGATACTTTGATCAACTAACTCCGCCCAGACCAAGTGATTTATTGACAATTCCTAATTTCAGTTTTCCATTACATAAGTAAGTATATTTTTTTATAAATTTAGCAATTACTAATTTTTAATAACTTTTACTGTAAAAAAAATGTCTTATTATTTATTAAAAGTAAACTAATATTTTAACAGAATTACCAATGAAATAAAATTTAAATTAAAAATAAACTATTTATATTTTATATTTATAATTGTCAAATTATCATGTAGAAAAAAGTAACTAATGAAGCTAGCCAATATAATTATATTAAAAGTTTTCACGTTAAATTAATAACTTCATAATTAAATTATGATTTATTATGATTTAAATCTCAATCATTTAACATCAAGCCAATAGATTCGTACTTAAATTATTTTTTTTTTTTTACTATTCCAACTATGATTTGGATTTAATTTAATTTTTAATAGTTGATTTAAATAAAATTGTATTTACATATTTGATTTTTTGGAACACATCAAACAATAAATTAAAAAATGTAATTAAATTTAAAAATATAACTATTATAGTACGATACAATTTTAAGTATGATTCTTTTGATAAGTCATAACTAGGGTTCGGGACTTATTGCCCACAAATTATAGGAAACATACATGCACATATGCACTTGAAATAACTGAAATATGCGAAAATATATATAACTAGATTTTTTTATAATAGCAATTCAATTTTTTTTTTTATTTAGTTATTTTTTGACACCAATAACTCAATAAGTTTTAAACTATAATACTACTCTGTATGATTGAATTAATTTTCTTTGTCCCTTTTCTCCTAAAATGAAAAAGAGGATTAAAATTATAAAAAATGTTAACATTTAGAATGTTAACATTTACTTCACATGTAACATTGATATATAACATGTGTTTGTTCTTTGTATTTTCTAAATTTGTTGTTATATTCTTTAATAAACTTGACTTCTCTCTTAGCTGAGTCATTCACAGATTTTAATGATTTCATAATATGTTTTTCTATCTTGTAGTATTTTTGATTATTACAATAAATTAAATACTGATGATTAAAAACTGTAGACATTTTAAACCTCTAAAACAGCGGTTCTTAATCTGTGGTCCGCGATACTCATTTCAAGAGTCCGCGACAGTCTTAACACATAAAATACGTCAATTCATGACTTGAGTGTATCATTAGTTATTGTTGGATTATTATTATTATTAATTTCTTTTTCATATGTTTTTTATTACACAATAGATGGATCTTATCTTCATACGATGTTCAAAAATTTGTGTCTTAAGTATAACATCAACCATCACATTAAATTAATAAAAATTAAGTTTTAAGAATATTAAAAAAAAAAAAAAACTAAAATAATTAAAATTAAATTACTGAAAAATTAACTGTAATAAAAATAATTATAAATATGTATATTTTGTTATGTCTACCAATATAATTTATTACATAAAATTATTTTTATAATTTTGGTTTTAATAACATGAGATGTTTTTGTAAAAAAAAAAAAAATGTATTCTAAAAAAAAAATTCGTAAGGGGTCCGCAATTTCTAAAAATCTTATATCAGGGGTTCATGATCTACGAATGTTAAGAATCGCTGCTCTAGAATATTCAAATTGGTTTAGAGTTTATTGAATCAACTAAAAAGTATTTTTGAATAAAAAGTGACATTTTAATTTAAGTGATATTTCATCTAATGTCATTATTTAATTTAAAATGAAAATTATAAATACTCAATATTCTCTAGCCATTTTGAGTTTTGTATTATTATTTACGCAATAATTAAAATTAAAATTTAAAACACTCTGGATTTAAACACCACATTGATTTATTATTTTTTAATGATACATCTACTGTTATTATTATTATTATTATTATTTATTTATTTATTTCTCAAGAAAATAGTACTTGGCCTCACTGAGTATTCTCATGTGATGGTCCAGGATTTATTATGTGTACGTGAATATAACTGCTATTCTTTCATTATGCAATTTATATTCTAATTTTTTTTTTAATAATATATCATTAATTAGAGCTTAAATTGTATTGATATATGAAAACCAAGCATGGACGTATTATTTAACTATATAAAAAACAAATATATTTTATTGCCTTTTCTTCAAATTTTCAATTTTTAATTTGTACAAAATAAACCTTTCTTAATATAAATTAATTATTATTTGAATTGAATTGAATCTTAGGTACGTATCTTATCTTATATTTTTTATTAGAATGCATATTAGAGAAAACTATTGACAGAAATTTTAAGAAAAAAATTGTAATTATGTTGCAATCCATTGGGATTCAATAATACCTCTTACCTTTGCCGAAAACAATAATGATCATTTACCTATTATTGCAATAGCAATGAATGTTGAACAACTTCTTGGAGTCCCTCAAATGCTTTTTGGCACAGGATATGAAATATCTTCAGCTATCTTTATTACTCTACAAAGACGATCATTACTATATTACAAATAAATTTACAAAAATCGTGTTTATTACTAAAGCTTCTAACACAGGGAGGTTAAATAGAGCATGTATTTTCTTAAAAAAAGTTTAGGAAGAAAAATATTATTTTTTGTGTGCAGACATCACAATTTTGAACTTGTTTTATTCGGAGTGTTTATAGAAGTAAAATTATATCACATGACTGGACAAAATATTATTGCTTCTTAAAATATTACAATATACGTGAGAAAACATTGATAAAAGCAAACCATCCATTTCATTTTCTTATACCTATATTTTTGTAAAAATTACACAAATTCTAGTAAATATAACCAAAAGTTATATCAATGTTAATCTTATGAAATTTTCACCCTTAACCTTATTTTATATGATTTAATTTTCTATAATTTTTATAAAAAATATTTTAACATATATCCAATCGTATGTTGTATATATTTAAAAAATTACAATAATTCAATTTTGATAATTATATAAAATATTTTGATCCTTAATAATTTTTTTAAAAAACATTGAATTTACACAGAATGCTTTTTTGTAAAATATATTATAAATAATAATAAATCTATCGTTATGTTCTTTGCATGATCATGCTAAATCCTATTCTTTCTTAATCAAATAAATAAAAAAAAAATAAAAAAAATACCTTCTTTTATCATATTTCAACCTTAATGTGGCCCTAGATTGTGTTGAGACCTTTCAAATTTCATCTGAATTATTTATATATATATGAAAAAATTAAGGAGATACCGTGTTAACGTTTCAAAATAAAATATTTTACTTATATAAGTAAGAAACACATTAATCTATATACATTTTAAATTTTAGGCAAGATAAGAAAATATCAAAAATTCAAGAGAGTCAACTTATAAGTGGTCATTTATTGAGTCCACCACCAGTTATTCATTCAAATGGACGTTCAATTTCTCCTGAAATTTGTTCACATAGTAACAGTAGTAGTGGTGATGAAAGTGAACTTGAGAGTGCCAATTGCTCTTCACCTACTTCTGTTAGACTTTATCTTCCAAAACCTCATATACCTGTTCAAAGACGAGCTACTATAAGTGGAGCTAGTCCTATTGGAAAACATGCACCATTCAATTTTGATCAGGTATTATTTTAATAAAAAATGAATAGTTTTAATATAAAAATAGTTTTAACTTTCAAAAATAATAAATGTCATCCAGTTAAACTATTATTGTGGAAATTATAAATTTAAAAAAATTGACTTTGCTCCGTCCCGGCAGATGATGTGCGTATTAAATGCACTGTATAGTTTGTTATTTTTTTGAACAGGTAACACTAGACGTGCCTTAATAAACCTATATAAAAGGTTAGTCCATTTGTCATACCAGCTCAATTAATTTTACTATTCATTTTTAAATATTAGTTAAAATGTTTGTTATTTATAAAAATAACAATTTTTAATTGTTTTTAAAATATTTATTTAAATACGTAAATAAATGTATATTAAATAAATTATTCACTTACATAATTTTTATCAAAGTTTAATGTGAGTTAATTATTCTGGTGGACATTCAAAAAGGCCTAATACATTAATCTAAAGTATTGGATTACTAATGTATATTTAAGAACGAGTTACAAGTCATAAATGAATAAGTAAATACCTACAGGTAACAATAGTCTTTTTCTCTTTCTGTATTGGTTATATGTTACTTATATGTTTATGTTAAACAAGAATTCTTATTGATCTACCATTTTTTAATATTATGTTTAATTATTTGCTTTTAAAATTACATTATATTAACTGAGGTTCAGTTTATTAAATTATTATGATCATGATAAGTATAAACTATTTACAATATAAACTAATTAATATTATGTTTGGGCAGAGTGTGACAAATTAAAACTTATTTTGAAAGAGTTCTTATGTATTTTAATTTATGAATCATATGTATTTATCAACTATTACTTTTATTAATGTGAAATTTCAAAAATAATAAAATAAACATTAAATTAACTTTTTAAAATATTAATCTTTAGTAATAAAAGTTTTGGTTATGGGCATTAATTATTACTAAAACATTAAATTAATCAAAATATTTATTTGTACGGATTTTCACTGACTATTAAAATATTTATTTATTTTTTATTTATTTATTAAATTTTCAATGCCGCAGGGGAATGCATTACAGAGAATATGGAATGTAATTAAATAAAATAAAATAATACAGTGAAACTTAAGAGTTATTATTTAAGTAAGTAGTAGTTCATGTGAGAAAATAAAATGTTATAAAACAAAAACTCTAATTATACTAAATACAATTTTTATTGAATTGTAATTAAATTATAATTAAAGTGTTTTCAAAATACCTAATTATATTTTTTATTCATAAGTTTTTAACATTTATTTTCATATGATATCTTCATACAGTGATCAACTCGTTCTACAAAACACCCTTGATAAATTCGCCACCTGGTGTAATACTTTTAATTTGTCGCTAAATATTGCCAAATGTAATGACTTTTCATCGTTCTAGGTCAGTATTGCCCTTTGACTACAAACTAAGCGGACTAACCGTTCAACGCGTTAACCAAATCCAGGATTTGGGCATTTTGTATGTACCCTGGCTTAATTTTAGTCCTCACATTGATACTATGGCTGGGAAAGCTTTTCGAATATTGGGTTTTATAAGAAGATACGCTGTTAATTTTAGTTCCCTAAATTGCTTACTGATTCTCTATAATACATTGGTTTGTTCGGTTCTTGAATATGGGTTTGTTTTCTGGTGACCATACACTGCCGATGACATTCAACGTATTGATCGGGTGCAAAATTATTTTATGAACTTTGCTGGATATCATCTAAATATTACACACCCAAAACATGATTACAGGCCTATTATTCAAACTCTTAATCTAAATTATCTTTCAGCTAGGCACGATAAACTTGGAACTAACTTCATTCGAGGTCTGATTGAGGGTTGAGTTGATGTTCCGAGGCTTCTCGAACTCAACTCTTCAACTCGATTTTTGTAATTCCACTATTACTAGGCTGCAGTGCTCTTTCTACCAAATAATAAATCTAATTTTTCCTGAAATGCCCCACTCTCAAGATTGATGCGTGTAGCAAACTTGCCTTAATTATTTTAGAATGGAAACACACATTTTTGCTTGTTATTTCCTGTTTCTTATTTGTAATTTTGTTATTTTTATTATTCTTAAACCTTAGTATTTAAGTTAATCCATGTATACAGTACTGTATCTGTATAATATCTTGTATTCATTACGTATCATTTGTTAAAAGCTGACTGGTGTTAATTCTAATAAATAAAAAAAAAAAAATTTTAAAAATTGCATCCATAATATATAGTAGAAAAAAATCCCCTTGATATAACGTTTTGATTTTTTTTGTAGGTTTTTCAAATTATAATGCATTGTGATTTGTGATCTATTAAAAACTGTGTCTTACAGTAATATATGGATAAAGTAGAAAAATCTATATAAATGAATAATTTTAGTCATACAAATTATAGTTTTATTATTTACCCTATAAAATAAAAACATTTCTCACTCAGCCAAATTATTAATATATAATATATATTATTTATTTAAAACATGTTCCTCATATCATTAAGTTTACATAGTTTAAATAAACAGAACCTGGTTAATATACTCGTATTAAACATTTTGGATTAATTATTGTTTTTCTATTTTATTATACAATATTATATTTTCAGTTTCATACATTTTATGTATTATAATTATTCATTTTAAACTATAAATTCTATTTGATTATTTGTAGGATAATATTCTTCTTAGAATGAGTTATGTGTGCGTATGTTAATTACAGTAGAATATTTTTTTAAGGATCTTCCGTGAAACATAAAATTAATTTAAAATAATATTGATTTAAATTTTACTAAAAATTATAAATTATTCATTACATTTATTCAATAAAATATTTAATAAATGTTTAATGTATTGAATTTTAAAATAAAAATTTATTTTTCTTTTTTAGAAATTAAATAAAATTATACTACTATAAACACTTGGTTTTATAATTCGCAACACAATTGGTTTTTCTAATATTTACACATTAAACATCCTTTACATTTCATTAGCTTGCTCGATACTTGAATATGCCTCTTTTATTTGGTCGCCCCATCAAATTTCTTATATTAATCACTTAAATAAACTTCAAAACCAATTTTTAAAAATAAGTTCTTTTCGTTTTGCAATAATTCCATATAAATTTAAGACCCTAACTGAAAGACAAATTGAATCTGATGTTACCTTTATTTATAAACTTTTGAATAATTATATTGATGATCCTGATTTCCTATTTAAATTATCTCTAGAAATTCCTTTCTTTTACTTAAGAAATTCTCAAATTTTTAAAACAAAATTCCATGCCATTAACTATGGATACGATACCCCTTTTGAATGTGCATGTCGCATTCTTAATAATTTGTTAAATATAGATATTTTTTATCATTCTTTGCCATCTATAATTAAGAAATTGTATTAGTTAATTTTTATATTTACTCATATTGAAGCTATTTGTAACACTGTTCTTTTACCTTTATTCCGATGCATCTTTTATCAATATCTGTACTGTACTTATGCCTTTGTGGCATCAATAAATATATAAATATAAAACATATGTTAATATATTTTAAAATACTGAAAAATATCAATTTAATTGAATTTGTATTTAGTTGATGAATTAATAAATATACATAAACTGTTTTAATAAATAAATAATTTAAGGATACATATACATATAATTTTAAGATATGTATAGGAAATCCCATAGTAATTTTTAATTCTGTTCCAAATTTATTATAAATAATTTAAAGAATTTTTATTTGTCGATTAAAATTTTCTCTAATGCCTGTTATTTTTAAGTTTATTTATATTTTACATTAATAATGCATTATGATTTTTATATTATTATTATTATTAATTATTATAAATACCACAGTTTGTGCAACCAGGAAGATCCTTAATTAAATACTATTATCTTTTAATTAAAACAAAATTTATACATTCTTGTTTAGGTGTAAAACGATTGAGTGCATTTTTTTGGCTAATAAAAGTGTTATTTTTTATTTTTTTGTATTAGAATTATTTTTGGTCTCAATTAGTGATATATTTACTACTAATTATGGTTAATAATTTTAGATTTTTAATATAAAAATTAATAATTTTTAAGTGAAGTAGTGAACAACAAATATCTAATATTGTATAATTTATATTTTACAGATTAATATTTATGAGCCTATAAAAATAGTTCTCAATCGTATTCCACCATTTTATTTGCATGGATTGAATTTTTCCCTATTTTATAACTTTTAATACAAATTAGATTATCATTGTTTTTAAATATAAAAGTGTTATAATTTTATTTTCAGTTTTGGAACGAGTTAAAACAAGAAGCTCATAACAGTAAAAAAAATAGTGAAAAATGTAATAGTGAGATGCAACTTAGTAAACGTTCTAAGCCAACAAAAGTTCAATGGACATCATTACCACCAAATGAAGTGATTAATGAGAAACATGAAAGTCAAACATTTTCTGACAAAAAATTTGCTGATACATCTATTAAAGATGATGTCTTGAAAAGTAGTAATTTAGTATCTTTAAAAGAACGAATCAATCAATTGAAAATTAATAATAATAATAATCCTGAAAATGTTACTAACAAAAAACCTAAAATAATGCCAAAACCAATTATTTCTAAAGTTTCTCAACCAATAGATAATCCAATAGTTACTAAAGTACGTGGAAAACTAGACAAAAGTTACAGCACTCCATCTTATGACTTTTCAACAGATGTTAATCTTCATGATGATTTTGAGTATTTTGATTCCGATTTAAGAATGTCAATTGAAGATGTAAACAATTATGATTCAAAAAAAGTTACCAATAGTTGTGTAAATGAAGACAAAATTAAAAGACTTGATAAACCTATTCTAGTTTTTCCCAAACCACCTTCTCCAAGAAATGATGATGATATTACTTTTGAGACAGAGTCAAAAATTGATAGTATTAAATGTATAAACAAATCAGTAAAGCCAATTTTATATTTTCCAAAACCTCCACCACCCAAGACTGAAGACATAGACTCTACAAAAATGAAAGATAATAATATAATTGATAATTTTGAGTATGAGCCTCAAGATAAAAGTAGAATTATAGACCAATTAAATTGTACAGTTTCAGAATCCAGTAGTGGATTTTCGTTTGATTCAAAAACTGAAGAATCTTTAGAAAATTCAAATAAATGTTACTTAGAAAACCAAAATGGAAATATCTTAGGTTATAATAATATTGCAACCCATTCATCTCAAGATACAGTTCCATGTATGGATTCTCCAATATATTCAGTAAACCGATATAAAAATAAATTTTATTTAAATAAAAAACAAGAGCCACAGGATTATTTAAAAAATTCATTTTCTGATTTATCCGATGCTTGCCCTCCATTATCATTAACTGACCTTAGTGGTAGCGATGATAATATTTTTCGAGTAGATACCAAAGACAATATATCATTACCATCTGAAAGAACAGCTATCATAACTCATCAAGCTGTTCTTAATGCTCCAGCTACATTTCCTAGACAAAAAACTGAAGTCAAAAAATCTCAGCCTCCTATACCACCTCCTAGACCATCCAAACCTGCTGAATTGCCTAAAAGAACCAGCTATAGAGCTATGCTTGGTGCTAAAGCTATTGGGAAAAAAGAAAACAAAGGGCAGAAACAATTATTTCAGAAAAATCCATTGATAGCTAGTAATTTTCGTTTTTTTATGTAGTAAAAAATATTATTTTTTTCATTATATAATAAACTATTGTTTATTTTTAGAACGCCGAAATATAAGTGCTAAAGAATTAGGAGCTTGCGAATATCAAGGATGGCTTTATCAAAGATCTAAAAAAATATCTCCTCGAATGCAATGGATTAAAGGATGGTTTATTATAAAAGGAACAACATTTTATGGATTTAATAACAAAGAAGTATTGAAAATATATTATTAAACATTTTATTTATTCTAATTGAGATACTTTTATAATCCTGTTAAGTCCTTAAAAGCTCGGCTTATGATCATATTATCTGGTTTTACGGTGTCTATTGCTGATGAAGTTAAATCAAGAACTAATGCTTTTAAAGTGTATCACATGGGAACAATGTTCTATTTTGCAGCTGAAACACCAGATGATTTATCAATGTGGTTAGATTGGTTTTCAACTGCTACCATTGCTGATGGACATAATTCAGGTTTGTTTACTTAATTAAATCTTAAATTTATTAATTTAGTAAATGTACAGATAGTGATATAAGTATTTAATAGTTTTTCAATTATAAAAAAATAAAATTTGATCCATTTTAATTCAAAACAGTATTATAAACTTTGTTAAAGACAATTAATTTATCAACACAAATTTAAAAAAATTATTTTAATTTGGCAAAAATAGCAAGCAGACATTTAGAATAAATAAAATATTTATTATGTAATTGAATTTTTATTATTAGTATGCATTATAAATAACTATATTCTTTATAATTAAATTAGCTATCATTTTTAAAACTATATTACTCAGTGTATTGCCTATAAATTATTATTTCCCCTATAATTTTAAAAGTATGAAAATGAAGAAAAAAAAGATTATATATATACTTTACAGATATTGTAGCTGTTAGTGAGACTGATGGTGAAGAAGATGAAAATTTACACGGCAATCATGATTTTCAAGAAACATTTGTATCAAAAACAGACACATTGCATGATACTTCGTTTACAAGTTCAGCTTTTAAAAATATTTCTACATTTCTTCACCTGGGATCTTATTCAAATCCTAGTACAAGCTCTAATAAAACTAAAAGGTATGGACTTCTTAAATACATTATAATTTATTGTTATTTTTAACTTTATTTTAAAAATGTAATATGACTGTAATTTATTATTTACAAATTATCATTAATATTATGTAAGATTAAAATATAATTCAATATATATATATAAACTAGTCATCCAGAACATGAATAATGTGTACACTGCATGCTTACTTTTATAAAAATATTTTGTGTAATCACAATATTGTGTAATTTTATTAAAATTAATTCTTAATAACCTACTACTAATGAATATATTTGTAATATAAAAATAATTTAATTTAGTAGTTGTAGTTTAGTTAATAAAATTGAAATGTTATTATTACAGTTTGTAATATTTTTAAATTTTTAAATAAATTAAATTGGACATATAGATGCTACTTTAATACGCTATTTTAATTTTATTATTAACACTAAAATTAACTGAATTAGCAAATTAAATTTGCATGGTTATATTCTGTATTATTATTTGACCATGCATATTTCTTATTTTGATAAGAATCTAAAAATTGAATCTTCTTGATTACTATTATTTTTTTGAATTTTTCATAGTTAAATAATTATTACATTTTTGTTTAGTGACAAGAGTTTTCATTCATTAAAAAAACAACAAAAAAAAAACTTAGCAAAAGAAGATCAAGCAAAAGGTAGCAGCTTAGACCGAAAACATTGGAAATTTTTGGGTATGATTGGACGAGATTCAAGTGAACCAGTTCCTACTTCTCAATATCGTAGTTACCGAAGAGTACCTCCAACAGTTTCTAAATCAGATATATCTGTTCTCTCCAACTCCTATACTCAGAAGTGAATTATTTTCATAAACTTATTAATATTAACTTTTTATATAAAATAATAAAAGTATTACAGAAATTTTTATATTTTAGCTCTGATATGTATCCTGTACCTCAAATTAATCATAATCGTCCTGCGGATATGGTTGATTATCGATTAGCTTCAATTACCAAAACTGATAATACCCAAAGGTACAGAAAATAAATTATTTTTAATGCAATTATTTGAACACTATTTATCCATTTATAGACGAAGCGATTCTACAAATAGTTCTGAGATGACTTTAGAATCTTTCATGCAGTCTCGCCAAGATGAAAGACGTGTACAACACCCACATATTGCTATGCGTGTACCTCAATACATAGCTCCACCACCACCACCTGGTGATAATAACATAATTATAAACAAAATTAGATTATATGTATTTTCCTATACTCCATATTAATTAGTTATTTACCTATTTAAAATCTCAAACTGACTAATTATTAAATAGATTGATTTTTAAATTATCAGCTATAAACAAAAAAAAAATAGTATGTTAACCATATAATTTTTACTTCATTTAGAATTTAAAATGATTTAGCAAATTTCGTAATTTTAATAAGAATAGAACAATTCAATACTTTTTGACAATTTTGAAAATCTCATGAATATTTGAATCAAATTATTTATAACTATAATTGAGTTATTATTATCTTTATAGAAATTTATAATATTAGCTTACAGTAAAATATAATTCAATAAATTATATTTAAAAAATCTTTGCTATATTTTGAATTTTCATTATTTAATAGGCATTAGAGAAGATCAAAATCAACAGTTTTTAGATCAAGCCAGTTTCAGGTAAAGATAAGAAATATTTAAATAAAAGTAGTATTATATTCTCATAACAATAATTTTAGATTATTATTGTTATAAGTGATATATGTAGAAATAAATTTAAATTTATATTTTTATTTCTTAAATTTCATCTATAGTTTTGTCTTTATTCTTACTTTTTAGAATTGCTGCAGAAAGTGAACCTCGATCAAGACAACCGATCACTGCATTGACTAGTGTTGAACACAATTACAATTTAAGCATAATGTCTCCCTGTAAGTTGATCTTTTAACAATTTGAAAATAATTGACTTAAGTTGTATATTAATGATTTCTTTTTATCGTTGATGTATTATATTTAATTGTTATATTAATTATTATCATACTATTACTATATATAAACAATATTTATTTGGATTCAATGACTTTTTTTACTATACAAAAAAATGTTGTATTCTACTTTATATATATAATGTAACGGTGAGATTTTGATAAACTTAGTAATTAAATGCATTCTTAAATTAATTATCCGTGATGGCATTTCATATAATGAAATTTCATATAAATAGAAAATTAAAAAGAATTATATATATTTTATCTTTTACTATATTACTTATTTTGGTCATTGGACTACTATCATTATATAATATAAAAAAAATTATTCTCAAAATAAAATTACATTATGTATATTGTTATAATATTTTTTTAGGGATAAATGAAGGCTCTACTCATTCAAGTGATTTTAATGGCAATAGAAATAATAAGACTTTTCCTTACCCTCGTGATGGTCCATATATGCCTCAATTATCTGAATTACATGAACACCATCTATATTCCAATCGATATGTAAGTTTAATTTATATTTACCATTTTCTAAGAAATATTACTTATAATACTACTGTTACTAAGATAAAAGTTTTATAGAACATTAGCTTATAACCTAAAATAAATTCAGTGTCATTGTTTTGTACTTAAAACATGTATAACTAACTTAATATTAAAAAAATTGTATATATATATATGTTCTTTTTATCTGCTAAATTAATAATTGGTCATTTATTACTATAAAAATGTCATCATTATCGAAATCCACATTTTATCAATCATATTCAATTTAAAAAATGCATGTTTTGTTATTAATAGATTTTGAAAAAAAAAATTGATAAAATTTAAATATTTATGTTATGTTTTTTAATAACTATTTTTAAACTTTGGTGTCTGCTTTGGAGACTTTAAGTTTCATAATTTACCAAGCTCAGATATTGTATATTAATATAAAGTTTAAAAATATTTACAGACTGTTGATCAAACAAGTGATAATGAATCTTTAGAATATCCACCTGTTTTTGAACCAGAAACCTATCCATTAACAGATATACATACAAGAAGACGAGATCGATCAAATAACAATTATGAAATAGATCATCCTCCAGGAAATAGTAATAATTATAGGTGATTAATTTAAAGGTGTATGTTATTATTATATATTTTAAATGTTAAGTAAATATATTTGTTTCTCCATGAATTTATATTTGTAACAATTATTTAATTATATATGAAACAAAGTTTGTTTAATTTATACAAAAAACTCAATTATAAAATATATTTTCATACATCACACTATTATATTATAATACTTGAAAACTATATACGTATTTAAAAAGTATTATATTAATTTATAATGTTTATATGAACTTTTATTTTTTTTTACTGTTGAAATATAATAATGTATAGAGGAGTTTAATTTCTGACTGTTGATTTTCATTCAAATTTTTATCATTTATAAAATGTTTTTATTCATAAAAATATATTGTAATACTAGTAATATTGAATTTATTAATCATACTTGTAAAATAAGAATGAGATTAAATAAATGTATACTTCATTTACTGATGTTTATTTACTTATTAATTAATTAAAAAAGTTATTTAAACAAACTACAATCCTAGTACTTATCTACTTGATATTTGTACTTGAAGTAAAAAAAAATTAAATTAAAAATTCTTGGCTTTTATTTTCATTGTTAATGGAAATTTTATACAAGTAATTTTAAAATATATCAGAGATAATGTACTTTTACCAGGTACTTAAATGCATTGACTGCTATATGTACATTATTTAGTAAATAGTAAAATTTCCATTCTTATATATGTATTTGTTGCCAAAATATAAAAAGAAGAAAATTTTAAAATCTATTTTTCATAGTATTTTTAAAAGACACATTTAATGTACTCGAAAGCAAGTTTGGCAATTTATTGAGTATACACAAAAATATACATATGGCCTCCTGAGCAATAAATTAAAAATTGTGACAGTCAACTCAGTGGTATAGAGTGGGTATCGGCTACCAGAGGCAGAAGACAATTTTGCCGCCATCTTAATTAGGTATTTCAATTTGATGTATATTATACATTATATACATTTATTCTAAAGAAGTTTTCAGCAAGAACAGTCATCACTATTTTGAATTATACAGGTTAAATTTTAAATAAAAAAGTTTATTTGTTTTACAATCACGTTTATTAAAACAAAAATTCATTCTTCAACCATTGATGTAACAGGTATAAAGGCATATGCGCAACTAGGGGGATTAGCCCCCCCATAAATATTTCATGTTATACATGCCATACTGCATACAGATACTTAACTCACAATAGTGTCACATACAAAAAGACACATTGCAGTAAATCCAACGAAAATATTTGTATTAATATGGTATATAAGAGTAGGGGTGATCTAGAGATTATTTTAAGTCTTGATAGGAGGGCTATAGCCCCTCCGGATATTTTACCTTAGTTGTGCATATATGTAAAGGTATTATTTAATCATGCGATTGTCGAGGTGAACCCTAATTTTAAGTAAGTAATAGAACCTATTTATAAATACTTATACTTATTATAATATTATAATTCCGCCACAATTTATTTTATACTTTTCATTTTTGATGCTAAAATAAAAAAAAATTGTAATGATAAAAGTTAGAATTACAAAAGAAACTATTGAACATTTAAAAAACTAGGTACCTATATTTTATACCACATCAATCTATAGGCAAAAATCTGAAAACCGTAAATATTTGTTCGGAACCCTGAGTATGCATGTATACAAGGCCGGATTTTAATAAATTAAAACTTGAACAACATATCATTCCAACATACAATTACACAAATAAAATATTTAATACTCACATAGATGAATGCAGGTAAACGTAACGCAGGCCTTGTACAATTTCAGACTGCACACTTGATTTTACTGCTTTAAATAAAAATTTAGTCTCGCTACTGTCTTAGAAAAGGGAATATATTACATACATAATATATATGTATTAAATTTTAAAAAATTCAATAATACTCATATTTTCTAGTAGTTGACTTATTATTTAATTTTTGTTTTGTAGACCGTGGTACACATTTGTACATTCGTGGTGCACATTGTGTGTCGGGGTGCACATAAAAATAGGGCCTGACGTAGCGGAAAATTCAAATTTTCACAAAGTTATCCAATAATTTTATAACCACTACACGTACTTATTTGCATAAAAATAACAGTTACAAAACAGTGTGAACTAAACAACTGAAGATCCACGAATAAAACTTTCTTTGAATTGTCAAAGCATCACGTACTTTCTTAAAGAGACGTAATAAACAATATTGAACTTAATATATATGTAATAGAAATCATTCTTACTGATTATAAGTTATAAACAATCCAAGCACAAAATATCATTCAAAGAAAAGGAACTTCCCAATTCATCACAGAATAAGTAATGAAAAATTCCGTGCTCTATTCATTAGGTCCGAATTTATAGTTGCGTTAAAAATATGAAATGGTTCAAATATTTACAAAATATATTTTATTATTTACTGTGAAATTTTGCCGCCCCATAAAAAGTACCACCCGGAGCGGGCCGCCCCCCCTGCCCCCCATCACTACGCCACTGAGTCAACTAGTTAAGTTTTTTAAGACCAATATTTATTGGTTAATTATACATAACACTATATTATTTTTGATTGCTACAATTATTAAAATTGTAGATTCTGAGCAGAGTAGAATAAATTGAACTTACCATCCAATGGCGTAGTTAGAAAAATATTTTGGGGGAGTTTTAAATTTTAAATTCTCTCCTACATAATACCAAACTTTTTAATTTCAATAAGTCGATTAATCATAATTTAATGTAAAAATAAATAATGTGTTATAATTTAGTTTATTGAAACTGAATTAACACAGTCTTCAAAAAGTATTCACATTTACATACATATGCATAAAAGTAACTTATGTTTCAACATTAATATTTAATCTTCTTGAATGCTTAGGAAATTCTTTTAACACGTTATCAGTCTTAATAATGATGTCACGATAGATGTATAATAATGCCATATTATACCTATGTCTTAAAATTATTGTATATTTTACAAAATTAAAGAGATATTTCGGCGAGGGATGGAAGGGTTATAGTCTGTTAACCACCATTTGGCTACGCCATTGTTACCATTGTACTTTTTATTTTTCTGTTATCAAATTTTCAACTGGTAAATCTAAATTCTCTTAGAAAATATGGACGGTGTTAGTTTCTTACGATGGCAAAATAAAAACAAGGTTGAATTTTAAAATATAGAATTAATGTATGTACCTACCTATATGTTTGTATACATAACAAGGATATAATATTAAATGCCTTGTATTTCTTTATTTAAAATTCCAATGGCATGTTTGAGGGTATAATGAAATAAACAATTTTTTTTAATTTTGGAGATACAAATAAAAGACATTGGTAGGTACATAAACCTCGTACAGTTATGGTTAGTGCGGACCCAGAAATATTTTTTGCAGGAGCTCATAAAAAATGTCATAAAGAATATTTGCCAAGAGGAAACAAGGTAACTAACCGTCCCTTTGAGTTTTTGTTCTTATTTTAATATTATATTTTGAGTAAAACGAATAATGTGTTGGTTAACCATAATGTGTTTTTCATGCATCTATGCATAGGCGCACATTCAGTATGAAACTTGGGAGTGCTAAAATTATCCATCCAAGACGAAGCCCAAACCACAAACCCCTTACAACAGTGGTTTCCAACCTTTTTCATCTTATGCCCAATGGTAAATTTTAAAAAATTTAATATATCATAATTATTTTTGTAATTTTATCATCACCATATTTTATTCCGAGTCATCCCAAAATTACCTTCTCCCCCTTGGAAACCACTGCCCAACAATTACTTAGCATAAAATGTTTTAGTTTTACTATTTAATTATAATTGTAGCAATTTTCTATATTATAACTAAAAATATTATTAATAAACATCACTATTTTTTATCAATAAGCAATCAAACCTGTAGACGGTAAACAAAACCAAAATCCTAAATAGTATTCTAGCAATGAACTTGAACATAATAACAGTATCACATGTATAGGTAACATAAACACAAATACCCAACATCATATGTATTCACATAGTATGAATACGTTCGTGGGCATTAGTGCATTATCAATTCAAACTGGAATTTATTCATTCTTATAAATGCAAAATAATCCTATTTAAACAATAATTTTACCTCAAGATAAACTGAAGGTACTAGTTTAGAACTCGGGGGTGCTAAGCACTCCCTAACACCCTCGTATGTGCGCCAATGCATCTATGTACATAATTTCAATCAGAATGTGTGGTGTGGTCATGATGAAGAAGCTCTCTGTTAGGAAATGTTATCTATTTGGTACTCAATGGGTTTATTTTATGAAATACCTAACTGTTTTGCAACAAATCTGACAAAAATTAATAAAAAAAATGACAAAATTTACACAAAATCAAATTAATTTTCATCATAACAAAAAATAACAATCGTAGAACTTAGAATTTTTTCTGAATGCATACATCAAATTTCTTTAAATGGTATAATTTTAAAAATATTTTTTTGAGCTATTTATAAAAAATTAAAATTTATCTGCTTTATATAGAAAATATTGAATATTTATAAATATAAATTATTATATGTAAAATATTTAATAAAAATTTCCTAATACATATTATTAACTAGAAAAAAAAATTAAGCCTAATTTTAAAAATAAAAATAATGAAAATCTCTTATAATTTTGTAGTCAAAATTCATAGCATATTAGATATATTATTCTTTAAATTAAAAATTGAATATATGATTATTAATAAGATGTTCCTTGTATCCAGAAAAATATTTTATTGCAATCACCCAAAAACGTTTTATAAGCTTTACAATATGATATTATATCGAAACCGGATTTTCAAAAAAATCTACCTTAATCGATATTAGTTTTTTCGTTTTCATCATATAAATATGAATCGTTGTGACTCTAAACAATAATGCTGTAGTCAGGGAGGGGCTTCTGAGATCAAGCCCTCCTTCTCTCCGAAATCTCAAGTATCAAATTGTATATTTGCCTGTTTAGAACACGAACCGTTCTCGTTTTTTCGATCTATCATGGTACCCACTAAATATTC